GCAACACCTGTAAAAGATTCATAAACAATTCCCCTATAGAGGTATTCTTAAGTATAGTATCAGTCAATTGATGTTTGACAGCCTTATAGCATAGGTATAAAAAGTAGGTAGTTATGATTCAATAACATAGAACAAGCCAGTAGTGTCAATCGAGTCGAGCGGCTCCTGACAAAACGATCCACAAGCCGCTCGAGCCCGAGCCCTAGCAGAGCCTACTCGGCTAGTTTTTTAGGCGAGCACGCCAAATAAATAAATAATGTTCAGTGACTGTTCCGGTCACTGGATTTTCAATTTCATTTTTTCGCTATAAATACCCTTCAATTAATCCATTTTTTTCCACCCAACTTCTTCTACATTTTACATTATTGAGTCAAAATCTTGATTTTACAATATATTTTCTACACCACTATATAATCTACATTCATTTCTCAGTTTTACTTCAACATTCAATTTCAATTATTCAATATCAATTATCTCATTACAAATTTCCAAATCACAAATGGTTCTATACTCATTTGTTGAAAACTTGTTCGGTGTCGGAGGAAAATCACCTGTCATGCCCCACAGTCAATTTTGGAATGAATTCTCTGGTCTAAATGAATTATCTATTCCAGAAAATATTTCAAATTTCGATACTCTTGGAAGTAGTAATCCAATTGATTTGAATGATATTAATGTTTTAGAGGCGGAACGGGATGATTAACCTCTATTAGATATTCCCGATACAAGAAGGAAGATAAAGGGGAAAAGCAAGCAAAATGTTAGAACTATTATAAATTGGTTCAAACCAGTCGTGTGGTCGATGGACTTCCAGAATCTAAAGCAGTATGTAAATACTGTCAACAACGATTGGTATGACAAAAAGGCATTGGAACCACCCATCTCAACCATCACTACAAAACATGTGCAGCCAAACATGGACTTCTTCATGCGGTCAAACACAACTACAATTTAGTACTATTACGCTACTTTCTACGTGGATGTATTCGGAGGAGAAAACTCGAACGAGAATGATGAAATTTTTTGCCACAACTGAGTTACCACTAGCAATAGCGAACAACCCACATTTCATTTCCTACGTGAAAAAATATCTTCAATCAAGGTACATTGGAGTAAGTCGAAATATTTTTCGGTCTGATACAATAGAATATTTCTTCAGTCAAAAAAACAACTGATTGTCGATTTAAAAAAATATGGGGGCGTAATATCTTTAATTTCGTATATATGGGAAATGATTAATAAAAAAGGTTATATAGATGCAACTGCACACTATATAGACCCACTTTGGTGTATACATAAAAAATTATAACTTTTAAAATTATTGAGTTCCCTCACAATGCTAACAACATATTTAATGCTATTATGAACATTATTAGAAAATATCGTTGCGAGAGTAAAATTCGTTCATTTACGTTCGACAACGCTAGTGTAAATAAGGTAGTTATCGATAAATTGTATAGAGTACTGCAATTCGATTTCGGTGGTTATTTGTTTCATATTCGATATGTATGCCATATTTTTAATTTAATAGTATAAGGCAGTTTAAAATATATTAAAGATGAAATTCAACGAATTAGGAATGCACTAGTGTATATCACGATTTCACCTAGTAGAAAAAAAGCATGTGAGGATTTTGTGTCGAAGCTGAGGTGACGCATACGAAAATATTTATTAGTGAAATAAGACATACTCTACTTACTTATTATTAAAATCATGTAAAAGTTTTGAACATTTAATAACTGAGTTTTATAACAATAGGCATATTAGAGACGAAGACGATACTATTTTGAATGAGTCCGATTGGAGTTTAACTTTTAAAATTAAAAAAAAAATTGACAAGTTTTTATGATTTTACAAATATTTTGTCTGGTATTTATTATCCCACTAGTTGTATCATTGAACGTCTTTATATAATTGCTATGGCTTTTCATAGATATAAAAATGACATCGATTTTAGTTCAATTATATATTCTGTGGAATTAAAGTTTAGAAAATATTGAGAAGATTTGCCTATGTTATTTTCGTTAGCATGCATCATGAACTCCCGATATAATTTATCAAGTACTAAATTTGGAAGCATTAATATGCGTAAAGGACTGAGAAAACGCTCATTTTCGACTGTAAGATAAATATGCCGAAATTGCATGTCGTCAAATAAGTGATATTTAATTTAACCATATTCATCAAAAAAAATTTATACGTTTATAATTTTTTTAAAAATTGTACACGTAACAAGTTGTTCATATACAATTTTTAACTCCGTTTACTCGAAATTGAAGTAACCGATCCCAAACCCGAATAAAGGAGGATGATTTTATTATTATTATTATTATTATTATTATTATTATTATTATTATTATTATTATTATTATTATTATTTAAAAAAAATAAAAGGGTTTTAGAAAATGTATATTTAAAAAAAAGTTTAGACAATGTATATATATATTTTTTAAATGTTTAGAAAAGGTATAGAAGAAGAAGAAGGAAAAAAAAAAAAGGAGCACGAGCCGAGCTTGTAGGCAGCTCGGCCCATTGCCACCGCTGGAACATGCTCCAATGGAATACTAACCCTAATTTCAATTACAAGAACAATAATAAGCAAAACTATATAAAAAAAAACACACAAATTTATAGTAATTCACATTAGTGTCTACTCGCTAGAGGTTTTTACTACAAATAAGAGATTACAATGGTGACCTCATACTTGTGAATCTGCATACTATTTTAAAAAATATTTATATATGGCGATCTAATCCATGAAGCATGAATATATTTGATACATAATATTAAAGAGGACTGATAATACAATATACAAAATTTTTATTTTCATTCTTTTTAATATTACTGAGAAGTAAACAAGCCACCTTACTCGACAAGCACGTATATAATACTCAATACAGTGGTGGGAATAAGATGAAGTGAGCTCTGCAGATGTATCTTCATCAAACCTAAAAGGAGCACTACCACACACATTGATCCATGGCAATAAGAATTAGATGTATAAAAAATAATAATTAGTCCAATGCATAGTCAAAGAAGTCCATTCATGTAGTATTTGGCATAACAATCATACTCTGGAAAAAGTAATGCTATTTAGTACCGCTGGTGTTAAAAAAACAATTTAAGTGACACTAATATGACATTAAATAAGAGATATAATTAAATGAATAACTTTATTTTACATTTCATTGAACATATCACTTAAAACCACGTAGTATTATATCATCAACAATGTTAGATAGCATTATTCCCCACAAAATTAGGAGTACAAGAATTCTTGACCAAGGTCTGTGTACACTAGCAATCAGCATTCTGTCCACAAGGGTAGAACTGGAAATCAAATGGTTTTATATAGTTTATCATATATATCTAATGGTGAATCCCCAATCTCTAACCTTTCCAAAATCAGTTGATGTAATTAGCAGAAATTTTAACAGTTTCTTTATCTTATTCTCTCACAAAAGACTAAACTTTTCAATTTCAACCATGCTACATGTACACTCTCCCTTACATCTTTCTTTATACTTTTCCAGATGATAACATCTACACTCTTGATTTCCAACTCATCCATCATATTACTGCACATAGAGAGAATGTCATCTAAAGTGTATGTTAGAATGTACATTTAGCCCCTGTCTGGGAGGGCTTTTCATCTCTCCAAACTTGATTATTGTGTCGTTGCTTTTTGACCGTTTCTCATAGAAAAGGCAGCCGCAATTGCTGAATTGTTACCGTTGCTGGCTTCAACAGACAGAAAAGCAATTTTCAGCTAAAATTTAATCGCAGTCAGACAAGTCCTTAGTTTAATTCTTTCAATTTTAATAGTTTCTTCATTGGCACAAGGATCAAAAAGTTCTTGAATTTTGAGATGTCATGGAGATTATAACGAGCAGTATGGAAAGAAGATTTAGGGAAAGTTGTCAGGGAAAACAGTCCAAAAGTCAAATTTCACGAGAGAAATTACCAGGAATTACAATCTACAGGTTCAAAGTTCAGACTACTACTGGATTCGGACTATAACTCTTAACTTGCAGTTAGGATGGAACCAAACCCTCCTCCCGTCCCCCTCACCCCCTGTCACTGTTTTTTTTTATTTTGTTATAATTTGATGAACATCATTTTGTTCTTAGTCGTCTGAACTTTGACATTCACGTGTCTCCATGAATTAAGTTAATGGGATGATCTAAAAACCTTTGAAAGGTTGAAATGCCTGTTCACCTTCACAAAATCGAATGTAGGTGACAAACCAGAAGTTCCATGTCTAAGAGTGTCTAAGAATGTTTTTAAACCCTAACCAGTAACATTTCTTTTTGTAACTTCTATTGTTTGACTCTTGCTCACACATACACACTAACCAAGAATATGTTTCAAGAGACTTTTTTTAATTTCATGGACAGATCTATTTGACAGACATGTGAACCATTTAGTCTCTAGTGCTTTACCTCTAGCTCCAATGGGGTGCTGTGCATGTGCTGCCTATACTTCTAACATCAGTCAAAGGCTGTTTTCTCCCTATACTTTCAAGAAAAGATTAATCAATAATAACCAGATCATTTGAGAATCACAGATTTCACATCCAAAATTCAACTATTCACCCAAAAACAAATAATTATGGCTAAAATTTTGATGAATTGGTAACTGAATCAAATTTCCAAAATACCCAACTAAAAGGTAGGCTCCTGAGGTACTGAATGGCTATGCGATCAAGTTGTTGCCCCATAATAATGAGTTATGAAGAATTCGAATTCAATTTTGTCCATGCTTTTTTTTCTTTTTTACTTGAGGTTAAAGATTAGGTCCCTACGCTCTCGTGCAGAGTCTTGGTGTATCAGGCCTCTCTCTATACACGTTCATATTGGATTTCTCTGGTCTATATAAACTCAACACACGCACACATGACCAGCATAAACTAGAGAAAACCCACATCATTCATAGCTCTCTCTCTCTCTCTCTCTCTCTCTCTCTCGCTGTGAAGTGGGTGGAGCTTATAGGAAAAATCAATGGCTGTTCTCATTGTAATTCTTGGGGTATTTTTTGGGCTCTGTATTCTCAGTACCGCTTTACTTAGATGGAATGAGGTCAGGTACAGGAAGAAAGGATTGCCCCCTGGAACTATGGGGTGGCCAGTTTTTGGAGAGACAACTGAGTTTCTAAAACAAGGTCCAAGCTTCATGAAGAACCAAAGATCAAGGTGTCTTTTGTCGTTCTAAAATAGTTCTTATTGCAATATTCAGGTTCATAATCTATTATGTGTACAAGGTAGCTTTATCCTACGGAAAGCCTAGCAAGACCTTTCTGTGGAAAATCACATCACCGTATGATCCTTATTCTCTGTTGATCAAAGATAGATACACGAGAAACTTCTGTGCATAGATAACCAATAGAACACGCGGTTATCATTCAGTCTGTCATTAATCATTATGTATTCATTCTTTGTAACGCCATGGTATGGCGTAGGTCATGGTTCAAATCCGATAAAGGGCTTTAGCTTTTTTTCATTAAAGTCCAGTCATAGTATTTGGGTTCTGTGTGATTCTAACTAATTTTTTTATCTCCCTTGTTTCTGTGACAGGTATGGGAGTTTTTTCAAATCCCACTTATTGGGTTGTCCTACCATCGTTTCAATGGATCCAGAGGTAAATAGATATATTCTAGTGAATGAAGCAAAAGGACTTGTCCCTGGCTATCCTCAGTCAATGCTAGACATCTTAGGGAAATGTAACATTGCAGCTGTCCATGGTTCTGCTCACAAGCACATGAGAGGGGCATTGCTTACACTTATCAGCCCCACCATGATCAAACAGCAACTTCTGCCAAAAATTGATGATTTTATGAGATCCCATTTGAGCAATTGGGAAAACAAAAACATCGACATCCAAGAGAAAACAAAAGAGGTTTGTATTGCAAAGCCTAACTCTAACTAAAGAATCGATTATATTCGTTATATTTGTCCTCCTCCTGTTCTAATATACCTCATGATTTTGTTCAGATGGCTTTTCTGTCATCTCTGAGGCAAATAGCAAGCACTGAAGCCAGCTCAATCTCTCAAGCATTCATGCCTGAATTCTTCAAGCTAGTACTAGGAACTCTTTCATTGCCTATAAACCTTCCCAATACAAACTATCATCGTGGATTCCAGGTAAGTTAGGCAATCCTTATGTATATGGCTCAATATAATCAAATTCTTGGTCGACTAAAACAATTCATCACAGGCAAGGAAAAATATTACAAGCTTGTTGAGAAAGCTTGTGGAAAAAAGAAGAGCTTCAGGAGAAACTCAAAATGACATGCTTGGTTTCCTAATTAATGGAGGAGAGAAGAAATATAATCTAAATGATGAGGAGATGATTGATTTGATCATCACAATTTTGTATTCTGGATATGAGACTGTATCAACTACTTCAATGATGGCCGTAAAGTATCTTCATGATCATCCAAAAGTACTTGAAGAATTAAGAGTGAGCGAAAAGGCTACAGTTCTCGTTATGTTTTTATTTGACTTAATTAATGCTTGTTAGTCTAACTTGTTTTCATACTTTGTAGAAAGAGCATGTGGCAATTAGAGAAAAGAAAAGGCCAGAGGATCCTATTGATTATAATGACTACAAGTCAATGCGCTTTACACGTGCGGTAAGTATTAGAAACTTTCGTGTGTACTAGTTACTGCAGGATAAATTTCAGCTTACTAATGTGATGGTGTTCTGTTCTGCAGGTTATCTACGAAACCTCAAGAATGGCTACAATAGTGAATGGAGTTTTGAGGAAAACAACCAAGAATATGGAAATAAATGGTGGGTATTGGGTAAAGCCTCAGCACAAGTTTTCATGTGTTTTTTTTCTAATTTTTCTATGCTTAAAAGAGTATGTTTGGTACATTGGACACTATGACGACAAAACCTTGTTCTCGTTAAAATTAGAGTCGCCTATTGGAATCTTTTTCCGCCATTTGACCGAGTTAACATTAAATATTGTTTAGCATATGTTTGGTCTCATTAAATTTTAATTCATTTTTTCTCTTTCAACTTATCAACCACACATTCTCTCAATAAAATAATATTACATATAAACTCAAAAATTATTCTTAATTCTTAATCACACATTCTTAAAAACAACACTATTTCAAAATCAATTTTTTTTAAAAAAAATAACGGAGCTCAAACAAAGGCTTAATATAATCCACCTAACAAACCTATGATGATCTAGGAAATGACAATTTATAGAAAAACTCTAGGATTAGGAGCAGTCCTCAAATTCTTCCCCCTTTGAGACTATCTATGCATACATAAGATATAAATTCAGCACTTGTATATGTATATAATGATAATATAAAAGAATAATAATGTTGTCTAGTATCATTGGTGTTACAGCACCAATTTATGTGACCACATTTAATCGTTTCAATTAAATGAATCATTTGACATTGCATTTAAGTGAACATTTCATTTAATGTCATTTAGTTGCACATAAACTACTCTTTAATATCAGTGGTGTTGAATAACATTACGCTTAATATGTTCAATTAAACGAATCATTTGATATTTCATTTAAGTGAACCTATTAAATAATGTCATATAGTTATCACGTAGAATGGTGCTTAATACTAGTGGTGTCGAATAACGTTACTTTATAAGAAATCCAACTTTTATGATGGACCCTACCCTATCATGTTCCACATGGAAAACCTACATTCCAACCAAGGCATTCCATTAAAGATCCATCTTATGTCCAAATGAATTATTTTGTCTATAATTTTGGATAAGGGAGGGTGAAACTCAATTCCTTCCATAGTCCTTCCTTTCATAAGAAACTATGGACTAATGCCTTTTCATATCCATGTGCTGCAAAAAATTTAAGTGATATAATTCCAGATTATCCTTCAATTATTCTAAGTTTAATCAGCAGAAAAATGCAGTCAGATAATTCTACTAGTTTACTTGTAATCGGTACGTTCTTTGCCAAAAATTTGATGAACTAGTTAAACTATAATAACTCGTCTCCCTTTTTTCAACTTTCAGGATTTATTATTCCCGAAGGATGGAGGATATATGTTTACACGAGAGAGATTAACTATGATCCACACCTTTATCCTGATCCATTAACCTTCAATCCATGGAGATGGCTGGTTCGTAATCCTAAATCCTAAAACTGAAATTTTTACATCCGCAACGATAGCATGTTTGGTAGGGAGTCATTAAGATAGAAAAAGAAGTCTACTGCTTACAAACATAGAATGGAAGTCTTCACTTTTTCCCAAAGTGATTAATGTTCTAAATCAACGAATGCAGAACAAAAGCCCAGAGTACCAAAACTATTTCTTCATATTTGGAGGAGGTACTAGACAGTGTCCTGGAAAGGAGCTTGGATTGGCAGAAATTTCTACATTCCTTCATTACTTTGTGACAAGATACAATTGGGAAGAAATAGGGGGAGACGAGCTGATGAAATTTCCAAGGGTTGAAGCACCAAATGGACTTCACATTAGGGTTTCCAGTAACTAACAATCGTCTATTCAATGTACAGAAAAATAACATAGCAGATTCAGATAAATATTTGGATGTACAATCATGTTCAACTAACCCATTATAAAATTGAAAACCATTTTTGCTGTCTATGAAATCAAAACACAGTAATTGCGCCGCAGAGAAGAATTAATCAATCTGATTGGGAAAAACGATGCAACTGAAACTACGATATGTAGAACACGAATCAATCAATCTGGAAAAATTACGAATTCAATGTATTTCTAGAGAATTTACCGTTTTGTTCATGAGGAACGGCAATTAATCAATTATAAGACGGTGATGCACATTTTACCGGTTTGTATCATGGGGAACGATGCATCTGCAATTGAATTTCCAATTATTTTGTTCAAGTTTCTATGACGAAATCTGCTGAACTCTGCAAATCTTTTGCAGCCGAAATTTAGGCGGGACACAGTAATAGAGGCGCGAAGCCGGCTATATTAGCTAAAGGGCTAACTGATCAAAATTGAATTCCACGTCTAAGAGCCTCTTCAATACTCTTTAAACATAAGATACTCTCTATGGGTGGGTAAAACTCGATTGATCCCACCAAAATCGTCCAAACCGAATCAACCCCTCCGGTTTGGATTTGTTTTTTTTATTGTTTTTACACGAGTTTGGTGGGTTGGTTGTGTAGGCGAGTTGGATTGGGTCAGGTTATGGATTAACTCATAAAAACCGAATAAATCAGCTCAATCCAACCCAACTATATTTATGAACTTTACAAGTATTATGATATTGTTTGGAAACTCTTAGAATAATATTATAAGATTTTGATATAATGCATTTTATGAAAAATAGTATAAACAAATAAACATTCAACACAAAAACATTTTAATAGTCAAAAATATTTCTTCATTTCATATAATTTAGCCCCTGTTTGGCCCCCATTTTGGAATGTTGAAAATTTTTGCAATAATGATTGATGAGAGAATGTGTGGTAGAAAATAATGAAAAGTTTTAGATTTGTGTGTATATTAATTTATTTGATGAATGCGTTGTTGAAAAGAAGAGAGAAAAAATGGGAGCCAAACGAGAGCTTAATATCAATATGTTCATGTAACATTTCCGGGTATGAAGCGCCAAGATAATTCAGATTTTTTTGTTTATTGCAACTATGGAGACCAAATATTATATAAATCAAGAGTCAATTATAAATCCGTCCAACTCGACCCACATACTTTAGTCTTTGTTGACAAATTGTCCCAACCCGACCGATACTTTATTGAGTTGGGTTGGGTTTCAACATTTACACGGGTTGAGTTAGGTTAAATTATTATCAAATCATCATGTTGGGTTGGGTTTGGGTTAAGGCAAAAATCGACCCAACCCAACACATGCCCACCCCTATTGCTCTCTATTTTAAAGAGACAATATTTAAAATCATACTACAAGAGACTCTTTAAATTAGCATTTTAATTTATAGAGCGGGTTAGCATTTTAATTTAGAGAGTGGAGTTAACTCTCCAATTTGGAGAGCCAAGCCCACTCTCTATAATTAAATGTATTCAAAGTGTTTCAATTTTCAATGTAGAAAAACAATAAAATAATCTAAATATAAGCTAGTTCAAATAAAAGATAAAAATAATAATAAATATTTTTTAGAGTAGTAAAATTAAGTGTTAAATATAAAGAGTTTGTTTAAGTACTTCAAAATTTTAACTCTCTAAATTTATAGATGATTTACAAATGATAGAATATATTCTTTAAAAATAGAGAGTCTCTTGTAGATACTCTAACAATGTACAGAATTCTCCAAATGAAAAATCACCTTAACCCTACATTTAAGGAGGTATATTCAATTGAATCTTTTAATGACTTTTGGGGATTTAACAAATTTAAAGGTATTCAATGTAAACTTTTGGACTCTCTGGTGTATTCAATTGAGATTTTTATAAATTTTTAAAAACTCTCTCTCTAAAAGTCACGTGTATTCAATTAAAACATTTTAGAAATCTCTATAAATCTTGGAATATTCATATTTTTGAGTTTTAGAGACTTTTATAAAAGTCTCCATAGTATTAACTGTTAAATAGAAAATAATAAAATAATATCTCAAATTTCGTCTCTCATTAATCACAAGATTTTGGGAAATTTTCACAAAATAAAAAAAATGTATCATTTTTTCAATATTTCTCTTTCTTTTTCTCTTCTACAAATATTAGAATTATGATTAATTTTTTTTTTCTATTGATTGTATTAGATTCTATTTTTTATTTTTTCTCTCTTATTGTTTATTTCTATTTTCTATGAAAAAATTAAATTGTATTTTTAAAACTTCTTTTTTCATTCATTTTTTCTGAAAAATATCCATTTTTAATTAAATTAAAAAAATTTTATATAGACTATTTTATAATTAAATTTAAATATATATTTTTATCTATTCTTTAAAGGTATATTATATTAATAATACTAAATATTAAATTTATTTTTTTATGTATAATAATAATAATTATTTATTTAATTAAGGTCTCAAATTTTTATTCTTTTTAAAACATTTTTTTATTATATGAGTGAAAATAAAGGAGGGGGAATTGTGAAAACCAGCGCCTCGTATGTGATAATTTCATAATGTTGCACTAAATCCACATAAATACTTACTCAAATGAAAGTTTTCAAAAGTTTTTTAAATTTTACAAGAGTCTCTAAAAGTTTTAAAACGAATGTTTATAAGTTTACAAAAGACTTCTACTAATTTCATATAAATTTCTAAAAAATTCACGAAATTCACAGAAGTCATCACTTAAAAAAAGTTCATCAAAGTATTTAAAAGTCTCAATTGAATACACTTCCCTTAAACACTCAATTTCATAAGGTCTTAATTATTATTTTTTACAATAATTAGATCTTAATTATGTTTTAATGTAAATATAAATATACTCACCCCACTAAATACATACATGATTATCACTCTTATCCCCACAATTCACGTTACCCCTCATCCAACCACACAACCCCAATCCCAATTACAAATTCTAGGCTCCCACTCTCCCCAAAGCAATCTCTCTCCAAAAATATAAGAGTATGTTTGGGACAAATTCTTTTGAAATAATGTATTATTGAATAGTAAATTGATGGAGAATGTGTGGTTAAAAATGAAGGAAAAGTTATTGATGTGATGGAAAATATTATTTTATTGAAGAATATATGGTTGAAAATGCGTAGAAGAATGAGAATGAAAAGAATAATGTGTACCAAACAGGGCCTAAGTTCTCTCTATCTACGTCTACATCCACAAACACAAATATATTACGTATATATCGATGTCTAGCTACGAGTTCTTCTTCAATGGTGTCGATGATGTATGGAAGCCTTTTCAACAATTTAGCCGATGTTTGGGCTTCATTTTTATAAAAACTCACTTTCCCACCACTCTTTTCAACCATACATTCTCTTATAAAATAATTTTACACGTAAATCGAAAACTTTCCTTTATTTTTTAATCACACATTCTCCAACTTTTTACTATTCCAAAATACATTCTCTTGAAAAAATAGAGCCCAAACAAGGACTTAGGCCCTGTTTGGGAGAGATTTAGATTTTTTTATAATAAATCAATTCTCATTTTCAACCACACATTTTTCAATAAAATAATATTTTCCGTCACATCAATAATTTTTTCTTCTTTTTCAACCACACATTTCTCATCATATCACTATTTAAAATCAATTTTTTCCCCAAAAATCCCTCCCAAACAAGCTCTTAATTTGTTTGTTTTAGTATGTTTGATATCCAAGCTAATTGAGTCTATTGTTGAAGTGTTGGCTTCTCCTTTCTTTTATTTCTCTTTTGGTTGGGGTAGAGGAAGAAGGGAGTTAACATATTAGATTTCTCTTTTATTTTGTTAATTGCTTGTTCTATAGAGCCTCTTTGGTACAAATTCTCATTTTCTACAGTAAATCAATTTTCATTTTTAACCACAAATTCTTCAATAAAATAATATTTTCCATCACATCAATATATTTTTCTTCTTTTTCAACCATACTTTTCCCATCATATCACTATTCAAAAATCAATTTTTCTCCATTATTTTTGTTTTTCTACTGCGTTTCTATGAATTTTTTATTAGAATTTTATCGACATACTGACGGGATTATACAAGGCATTAGCGGTGATGATAAGCTTTAATCCCAATCCATTATAAGACATTCTTCGTGTAAAATTAGGGAAAATACTCACGTATTTCTGAGCTTTATATCTTTAATCGCTTTTTTTACCAATTTATTTTAAACCATTGAATTTAGGGCTTTCCATTTATTTTAGCCTATGGATGATTTTTACATTTGATTTTCAAATTCCTCTCTTTATGTTGTTCGCATCGATGTGGTGGAGGTTGTGGTGGATTTTGAGATGGAGGAGTGGTGGCGGTGGCATGGTGGTGTGGCAGCAATATTCCAAATACAGATATGTGTGATGGTGGCGGGGATGAGGTGACCAGTGTTTTTTGGTGGTATCAATGGTGTTGGGATGGAGTAGGCCGGATGAAGAGCGATTATGACCAATAAAATGAATAATTTGTGTCAATAAATAATATGTGATTTGAAAATGTGTAATTTGCAACTAAATTTGTAATTGTGGCCAATAATAAATTTGTGTCTTTATGATCGATAAATAAGTTTGACCAATTAATTTGATAATGTGTGACTGAAAAATAATTTTTGATCAATTAATTTAATAATGTGTAACTGTAAAATAAGTTGTAACTTATAAAATTTATAATTTGTGACCGATAGGCCTTTGATTAATATAAGTTGCAGTCAGACAACAATATGTCATAGTTAGATAACATGTCACGATGAACGTATTACATGTCACATTTACGATGAAAATGTACTTAGTCACAAATAACAAAAACTTGGTGATAAAACACATAAAAGGTCATAAGTAGTCACAATTAACATAAAATTGGTCACACAAAAATCATTATTCATGTACTAAATCACAAAACACTGTTAATATAAACATAGTCACATAGA